ATTTGCTAAATCGAAACAGTTCCCAAAGATAGGCAAATATATGTCTTACAGTGATACCCATCTCTATATGATAGTTATGCATATACATTCCTTGATTGCTTTGATCTTGAATTCTCTAGAATATTTGAAAGTAAATGTAATTAGACGTCTATTCAGTTACCACACATACTGCTTATGGATGTGCACCCATTTGGGGTAAATATCTTAATCAAGCAAACGTGTTATTAAAGTAATTGGGCCACATTTGCAAAGAGTATTTATATATGTATATACATATATACGGCAATAATAATGAAAATGCGCCTGGAAAAACTAACAAAAGGCCGCGTGCGCGCGACCATCAAACGAAACGAAAAGCGTGCAGGCTCGACAACAACAACAACAACAAGAACAACAACAACGGGAGCAGGAGTAGCAGCAACAACAATAACAAAAGCAAAGGGAATGACCTTATATATTACAAACTGCAACGCAAACAAAGAGCCGCTAATGGTGCACGGCGGGGGCGGGAAGGGTTGAGGGCGGGGCGTGCACACTGCCTGATGCTGTGTTGACGCAAAGATCAACGCTGCCCAAAAACCGGTCGCCAGGCCTCAGTCGATGCCAGTGCCTCGGACTGGGACTCGGACTCGGCGTCGGACTCGGGCTACTGCGGGGCAATTGGGCCAAAAGCATAAAAATCAGTCAAGAGTCGCCTCCGCGCGGTGGAACGTTGCGAACATTAAAAGCGACAAACAAACAAACAAACGTACAGGTCCTGCCAGCAGCAGCAGCAGCAGCAACAGAAGCAGGAGACGGCAGCAGAGGACGGTGCTGCGGTGGGGCATGCAACTGCGGCTGGTCGCAAAAGGCGGCACATGGGCCAAGCGTAGCAGCAGCAGAAATCGATTTTCTCGCAAACTTGGCCAGCCAGGGCGCTGTAGCTGTAGCTGAAGTTGGAGCAGGAGCTGGAGCTGGAGCAGGAGCGGGGACTGGCACTGGACTTCAGTTAGCCGCAGGGCTCGAAACGCGCGCATTTTTCGGACCCTCGCCGTCTCGCTGCTCCCCTCGCAGTTGCTGGGTAAACGGCCCATATTCCGAGTAATGGATACACTACTACGGGCGCGCGCTCTCAATGTTGATGATGATGCGACCGCCGCTTGGCCGCTTGGTCCAGCACGAGCAGCAGCAGAGGCAGCGGCAGAGGCAGCGGCAGAGGCAGCGGCAGCGGCAGCAAAATTGCAAGTCAAACTGTCGTCGGGTCTGCGTTGTTTAGTTGTTTTATGCCACGTTGTTGCGCCATGGCCATTGGTAATTGCAATTGCCATTTGGACTAAGCCGCAGCAACAGCGGACGGCCACTTGCCAGATGAGTTTGCCCTCCACAGCCAGAGAGTGGATGTGTTGGGTGGGGCAGGGAAGTGGCAAGGGTGGAGTTAGTAAATCTGCAAATTGCATTCGCTAGTTGCTGCGCAATGGTTTATTTAATTTGTGTTATAAATAAATTTGTTAATGCTATAATTCCGTAGCACTGCAGTCTATGCTGCTCTCTCCCTAACTCTATCTCTCTCTCTCTCTCTCTCTCCCTCGGCCGCCCTCTGCCTGTGTTGATTCCCCTGGCAGTCGCTGATTTATCACTAATTGAAATCATCTCAACTGAAGCCAAGCCCCAAACACAGCAACACGGCGCGCATAAGAAATTACTAGGGCATGCCGAAGATTTAATACACTTGCAAATTGCTTCGGTCTTAATAACTCAATTTGTGCCGTTGGCAAATGTATGTGTACGTAGTATCTTGAGTTAGTTAGGATGTTGATTGTATATTAATCAGATGTTGATTTGCCTTTTACTATATGGAATGCGTTACGTGACAAGCTTTAATCTGAAATTCAATTTAGAGTTTAATTTATGTTTGTTGGTGTAAATATGTAAATGTAAATATATAAATATCTTTTAAGAATTCCTCACACATTTAGCACTGTAGAACCAACTCGAGAGTGCAGTAGAAAATTATAGAAAAATAGATAAAAGCTAATCTATATAAACTAATCTAAAATAGATTGGAATTCCATGTCATATACAGTGAATATATATTCAAATATTGCTTAATTCCCGGGTTCAGGGTAATATAGAAATTAATTAACAACTTTTCACTTTCTTTCCGTGTGTGTATTCACTGTACGCAACACGTTTAACGGCATTTTGTGTATGCCCATTTGCCAGGGCCGAGGAGGACAGCTAAATTTACGAAAAGTACAACATAATCTCGGCTAGAAACAAACTCAAACTGAATGCTTTGCCACGCCAAGAGGGCGTCAGGCAACCATGGGCGGGGCTGCCATTGTGTGTGTGTGTGTGTGTGTGTGTGTATGCTTGTGTGTATTTGTTTGTAGGCCTAGACACGCAAAGGTAAAATTTGCATGGAACGCAGACCGTTCAGCAATTACCGCTGCTACTGCGAGGCACATCAATAGCTGTTGTTGTTGTTGTTGCTGTTGCTGTTGTTGTTGTTGTCGTAGTTATAGCTCGCAGGCCTTGCCACCTGCTTGTCTGGGAAATCTGTTTGCTGGCCCGACTGCGTGTGTGTTCCGCTGGCAAAAATGACGTGACTGTCAATTGAGAAGAGGCACGGCTGTGCAGTGCAACATTAGGCATTGAAGGTGGCCCGGAGGGGGGGAAGGACAGCAGCAGAGAGCCGCACTGGCTGGCTGCATAGATTGCCGCTCTCCCATCCCTGTCGGCTCTCAGCTTTTTCAAGTTGTCTGCGGCGACACCCAACCAGTTGACGCTGTAGATATGCCTTGCACTCGACTTTTGCACTGCATTTTTTTAGCTCCAGCTTTTCTTGTTCTCTGTTTTTTTCGTTTTTCGTATCGTACTCTTGGCTCATCAGCAAAAACAACAACAACAAATCAACGCAGCGGCATCAATGACAGAACAGCATAAAAAAAAGTAACAAAAAATAAGAAAAAAATCTATAAAATGCAGCAGCAGCAACAACAACAACAACAACAGACAACAACTGGAACGACATGATTTTTGTTGCAAGGGGCAGTTATCCATCCACCAGGCGCACATCATCCATTCAAAGTTTGAGGAGCTGCTGCGTTGGCTTTTCCTCCAGCTTCGCCTCTTGTTCTTCTTCATCTGCGTCATCTTGTTGTTGTGTCCTCATTTTGTTCCTGTTTGTTGTTGCTGTTGATTTTGCTTTAATTATTGTTCCGTTTCGTCTGCCATTTGCAGCACTTCGCATGTTGTTTTTTTTTTTCGTTTTTCTTCCTTTTTTTCGGTTTTCAATTCGTTTTACTTTAACGTTTCCCAGGAGAAACATTAAACACAATAGGCCGAATGAATGATTCGAAATCATTCACAGCAAAAATGCGCCTTGATTGGCGGAAGAATAAAGGCGAACCAAAAAAAAAAAAAAAAAAAAAATACAGTTGAAAGTAAAAGAAAAATGTAATGAAATTTAAAAATATAAACGTAGAGATCAGAAGTAAAAGATGAGAAAAACAGCTAGAAAGAAATTAATTTTATAAATAAATATTCAAATTTAGTATATCAAATATGCAATGAGTAAAAATAAATATTAAAATAAATTTTTAAAAATATTATAAATTATAAATTTGTTATATATATATTTTATTATATTTTTAAATTTTATTTTCATTGCAATTTTTTATATAATTTGTTGTGATATATATTTTAATACTTTATATATTATAGAAATTTGCATTTAAATTTTCATTAAAATTATTTGATTTATTTTATATATTTTATATATCTGAAACAATAAAAAAATTATCAATTTAAGTATTGCTATAATATTGAAATATTGAACACATTCTAAAATAATTCATATTTATTTTATATATTTTATATACCTGAAATAATAAAAAACTTATCAATTTAAGTATTGCTATAAATATTGAACACATTCTAAAATAATTTATTACACAAAATGAGATAATGACTGTAATTAAAGCCCTTTTCGAATATAAATTTTATATATTCATTCGAGACTCAAGCACAGCTGCTGGTGCCCTGTGAATGATATATTTTTGATGCTTTTGCTCTTGTTCTTAAATACTTGTAATTCCTAACCTTTTTTGCTGCTAATTTTGTATGGGAATACGGGCAACTCCCTTGGCTCAACTGCATTTGCATAACCTCGTCCAAATGCACCCCTCACCCACCCCCCCTCTCACCCTTCGCATAGGCAGGCAAACTCATTTTGCATTTCACTTTCCTTTGTGCAGCATGCAAAAGTTCGAAGCCCCCAACTTTAACAGCCAGCCAAACAGACGATTCTAATGCAGTAAAGAAATATATACATATATACAAACATTTGTATATACATAAGTATATATACTTTTTTATAAAAAAAACAAAACTGCGAAACATGCAGCGTGGCAGGCTAAACAGGAGGCATGCTGCGTTGCAACGTTCTAGATATTACAGTATGCATATATATGTATGTATATATGTATATATATATTTATATATTTTGTGTGCAGCTTTTTACACATTTTGTTTTTGTTTGTTTGGGCTTGGTTTTTGTGTTTCTGTTTTTGTTTTTTTTTTTTTCGGTCGCGTTAGTCAGTTTGGTGCGACTTAAATTGCATTTTATTTCTGCAACGTTGCAAAACATTTATTTACTTTCATGGTTTGTTGAGTATTTGCCAAGCCACAAGCAACTGCCAACTGCCAACTGGCAACTGGCAACTGGAAAGCTCGAACACTTCAGCGAAGGCATATGAGAATCGCTTAGAAAGGATGACGATGTCGCGGCAGAAGAGTTTTTCCAACGGAAGCCGTTGACTGCCTTTGAACTTGCTTAGACCAAAACAGAAAAAGAAAAGCAGAAAATAATAAATAAATAGAAAATGCATAAAATATGAAAGGGATTGAGTTAAGCTTCCTCTCCCCCTCCCTCTCCCCCCCACTCACTCTTCCTGTATG